TGGGGATGATGTACCCACTCCCTCAGTTGACAGGAAGAGAGTATCTGATGAGGAGACAATTCCTCCTCTTGTCAACCCGATCTTACTAGATCAAGGACTTCCCTTGGAGGAAACAAGGTCTGATAAAAGAAAAGGGGCTGTGGAAGAAGGTATGGAGGAGGACACATTTCCCAGCATTACAGAATAAACACATAACACACATATATACACACATGACATATACACACAACATATGATTCAATCAAATTAACCTACACCACAGCAAGGCTGCTACAGCAATTTCATGTCAACAACTTGCTGAGGGAAAAGTAGACGTAGCACTTATTCAGGAACCTTGGATATATAGGGGCCAAATAAGAGGCTTAAAGAATTCAGGGGGAACAGTTTCTTCTGTCGTACCTCGAGAAAATGTGAGATCATGCATATATGTTAATAATCATATTAATGCTTTACTCTTGCTGGAGTTTTATTCTAGAGACACGATGATAGTGAGGATGATATACCCATTGGGCGGAGGCTGTGAGGAGCTCATCGTCACTTCAGCCTACCTTCCATATGATTTAGATGAACCACCACCTTCCAAAGAAGTGAGGGACATCGTTGAATACTGTCATCTTAGGAAAAAGCAGCTCACCATTTGGTGTGACACCAACGTGCGCCACACATTGTGGGGAAGCACTGACATCAACCCAAGAGGAGAATGCCTCATGGAATATTTGGCGGGTTCAAACCTTAATATTCTAAACCAAGGTAACGAGCCTACCTTTGTGGTTTGCAATAGGCAGGAGGTTATGGACTTGACACTAGGGACCAAGAAAATAAAAAACCTGATAAGTAGTTAGTTAGTTATTGGAGAGGGTGGGTTTTTCCCCATGCACTGAGACCTGTATTGGTCCATCGTGCTTCCCTCTATGATTTCTACCAGTCTCTATATCCTACCGGTACTGGTGCTTACCATCAGTCCCGCCCAGCCAGCGAGACCGGCTCTACTAGCTGAGAGATATCTATAATGCTTCCCCCATCTACCAGAGGTATTAGAGACTGCTGTTGGGTGGGAAACGTCCGTTAATTTGGCTCAGTTACCTCCTTTGGAGATATGAGGTTCTTTTATGTGCCGTAAAGCTACGACATGGGACCCACGGCTTAAAGTCCCTCCCGGAGGACTTGTTCCCTGAATTTTTCCGCCCTTAAAAATTCGACGACCTCCGCCGGGTATTTGAACTCGCGTACTACGAGTCATGAGGTGGGAACGTTACCTCTAGACTATGGAGGCCGCTAACCTGATAAGTAACTGGCATGCATCTAATGAGCCATCCTTATCAGATCACAGATATATATGCTTTCAAATATGCAACATTACAGTAGATCAAGCTACTTATAGGAATCCTAAGAGAACCAATTGGGAGTCTTACAAAGACAACCTAAAGGTAAATCTGGAGACCACCTCGCGAAATATATGCACAATAAAGGACGCTGATCGGTCCGTTGACCAGTTGCAACAGGCTATTATCTCGTCCTTTTATCGGAATTGTCTGGCTAGGACCACTTGCAAACCAAGGAGAGCACCTTGGTGGAGTAAACAGTTGAGTGGGCTCAGAACCAAAATGAGAAGGTTGTTTAATACAACTAAAAGAACAGGGCAGTGGGACACCTACAAGGAAGCCCTTACCTGTTACAATAAAAAAATAAGAAAAGCCAAGCGATCCTCATGGAGAAGGCACTGCCAGGAGATCAATGATATACCAGGCGGTGCCAGACTCATGAGAATCATGCCAAAACAGGTGACCAATGAGGTCAGCACGATTAAGCTGCCTAACAGGCAGTATACACAAACAGGAAGGGAAACACTGAACGAACTATTCAGGGTTCACTTTCCTGATTCAAAACTGATTGATAATCTGGACGATGGACAGGGTCAGCAGAGCGTGGGCACTTGCCAAAGCAGGATGAACAGGGCAGACTGGAACCTGGCCAAAGTCATAATTAACCAATCAAAAATCAGATGGGCGCTGAATATATTTAGACCTTTTAAATCAGCGGGAACAGATGGAATTGTACCGGCACTTTTGTAGCATGGGGCGGAACTCTTAGTTCCACACCTATGCCGCATATAGTCTGCATGGCATATGGTTTTACTCCCATAGCCTGGAGGCAAGTTAAGGTGATGATTATCCCAAAGCTCAGGAAACTTGATTACACTGAGGCTAAGGATTATCGTCCTATCAGTCTGTCGTCTTTCCTTCTGAAAGTGATGGAGAAAATAGTGGATAGGCATATCAGGGATGGGGTGTTGATGACATATCCTCTAGACTGAAACCAGCATGCCTACCAAACAGGTAAATCTACTGAAACCGCACTACACAATGTGGTAACACGCATAGAAAGTGTGATAGAACACAAGGATATCGCCTTATGAGCATTCCTTGATATAGAGGGAGCTTGCGACAGAACCTTATTTGATATAATCAAACAGGCCGCTGGAAAGTTGGCACAGAGCCTACAATATGCAGGTGTATCAGTGCTACGCTGGAAAGCAGAACAATAACTGCTACATTATCAGGAGAAACCCTGGGGGTGCCCGCAGGGGGGCATGCTCTCACCTCTGCTGTGGGGCCTGGTCATCAACAATCTCCTGTGGGGACTTAATGATGATGGGTATTATACAGTGGGATATGCTGATGACATAGCAATCCTCATAAATGGAAAATTCCTTTCAACAGAATCAGAGTGTCTTCAAACAGCTCTGTACATGGTCCAACGATGGTGTGAAAGAACAGGTCTTTCCATCAATCCTAATAAGACGGTAATTATATCGTTTACCAGGAACAGAAATATAAAGGGCCTTAAGGAACCGACCCTCTTCAATAAAACGATCCAGATCTCCAGCGATGTCAAGTACCTTGGTCTAGTATTAGACAACGGACTGACATGGAAAAAGCAGCTGGACAAGGTCATCAATAAAGCCTATAAGGTTTTTTGGACATGCAGAAGCATGTTTGGTAAAACTTTGGGACTGCAGCCACACGTTATACATTGGATATACATTGTGGCTGTAAGACCCATAATTACATACGGCGCCACAGTATGGTAGCCCAGAGTTAAACTCAATACAAGCAAGACAGAACTTAGCAAATTTCAAAGGTTTGCTTGCTTGCTTGGGTATCACAGGAGCAATTTGAACATTTCCAACAGCTGCACTGGAGATACTCCTTGGACTCCCCCCACTGCATCTACAGTTGGAGGCAGAGGCCAGGGCAGGAATCTACTGTCTCCAGTGCAGTGATCAATGGAAACCTAGATCCGATAGTTTCTGACATGCATACATAACTCAGGACATGAAAAAAGAACCCACATTACAAATGGGGTCTGACAAAATGATACTGAGACATGTATACGAAAAACCCTTCACAGTCAGATTTCCTGACAGAAGTGAATGGGAAAACGGGTTTTGGCCCGATAGAAAAGGGGGACTGATCTGGTATACACATGGTTCCAAAATAAATAAAGGCACTGGAGCTGGTGTGTACTGCTACGGCACAAGGCGGAAACTTAGTTTCAGCCTTGGGCAGTACACGGCAGTATTCCAGGCAGAAGTATATATGCCATTAAGGCATGTAATATGGAGAATTTAGATAGAAACTACAGAAATAGGAACATCTACATTCTATCTGACAGCCAGGCTGCACTTAAAGCACTTAACACACACCAGATCAACTCAAAATTGGTCTGGGATTGCCATCAAACCCTCATGGAACTGGCCAAACATAACAGGGTACAACTGAAATGGGTGCCGGGGCATGAGGGTATTGTTGGAAATGAAACAGCAGATCAATTGGCTAAGATTGGAGCTGAATATCTGTTCATAGGACCTGAACCAGCCTGTGGCATCTCTACATGATTTGCCAGAAAGGCAATCAGGGACTGGACAAATATGAAGCACCAGAAATACTGGGGATCCATGACTGGACTCAGGCAAGCAAATGGACTCATACGAGGACCCTATGCTAAAAGAGTGAAGGAACTGATGAAGTTAAACAGGAACCAGCTACGATGGGTGGTTGGACTACTTACAGGACACTGTCACCTTAAAGTACACCTCTTCAAACTGGGACTAAGTGATAGTCCCACTTGTGAGGGCTGTCAAGAAGAAAATGAAACAGCCACACATATCCTGTGCGAATGTGAGGCCTTAGCTTATTTAAGATTAGGTCACTTGGGTCAATACATTATGGAACCAAGTGACTATTTCGACGTCCCCATGTACAAAGTCCTGTGCTTCATTCAAAGCGCAGGATTGCTGAGGGGATAATCAAAAGGGGAAGCACAATAGACCACTGTAGGTCGCAGTGCAAGGGCCGAGAAGGCCCACCCCTTATACATTCATTCATTACTTCAGAATCAACAGTTGGAGCAATGAGTTAGTTGAAGGACAGTCACCAACATGAAAGCAAAGGACATGGTTGGGATCCATCAAATGCAATGACTGGTGAAGACAGAGCAGACTGAGAAGACTTAGTTCATGCTGTAGTCAACTGCAGCGTGTAAATTAGAGATAGCATTATAGTTACTTGTAGTTATGATCTGCAAGTGTTCAATAACTCCAATAGTCAAACCAAAGCCTGTCTATAGTTACTCATACACATGACAATATTGCATCCCCTGGTGTGTGAGAAACAATTTTGCTTCCCTTGAAAATGGCCATAAAAATATACTGGTGCATTTTATACACCACAAAGCACTGAAAATGAAGTAAATATTAGAACAACAGTTAACAAATGCCTTTATTTCATTAATAAATAAATAATTTTTATAAGTACTTAACAAATACCATATTTTGTTACCTAATCAGAAAATTAAAAAAATATGTCAATTCCCAATTTCTCCTTTCTAATGCAATGGTTATTATTTGCTTCCTGAATACTTTTGACACCACAGTGCAAATGGTTTTCACATTAAGATTAAGCTGCCAACTATGAGGCCAGTGCAAGCTGTACACTCACCCAACTGCCTCTTGTAGTTTTCTGTGTAACTGTTGATAGAGTGCTACATTGTACGTGCACATAACATAGCTTATAGCCATCTTGAGAGCTTCTATCCGTAGCGTAGGGCAGTGATCTGCAATGTACATCAGTCTGTAGAGTCGTGCCAATCCTATGTAGCTGTTTCCATATGCTTCTAGATCCTGAAACCACAATGTCAGTTCCACATATTAGCAAGAATGTGGACATACGGGTAACCTGGTGGAGACCAAGTTGTTCTTGCAAAACTGACAGTCACTCCAATAGTCATTCATTTATTCACATTCCATAAAATCCTTACATGGTTTAAACAACTGAACAGATATAGAAATCGTCAAGTAGTATGAACTCATCTTGCTTCTAATCAAGCAGTTGTCAATATGTTTGCAATATAAAACAATTTGAATAGTTTACACAGTATCACAGTAATCAATATACAATGTAAAATAATGGTGATAAGTAATATGGATAATAATATTGACATCTAATCAGATAAGAAGTATTATTACAGATAAAATGAAGTTACTTGGTCAGTTTCACATCATTCTTTTCATAAAATCCTTACACAGTTATACGACTAACAGATATAGAAATCGTCCAGTAGTATAAACTCATCTTGCTTATAAATCAAGCAGTTGTCAATATGTTTGTAATATAAATCAAATTAAAAAGTTAAATATATAAATTACCCTTTGCATAATGTTGCCATTGTCATCTATTAAAATATTCCTCCAATGTATAAAAGGAGTTCACAAATAAAAACTCTTTTAAACTGGCTTTAAACTTATTTGCATTATTTGAGATTATTTTGATTGTATTTGGAAGTCCATTATAAATCCTTGCAGCCATGTGATAAACCCCATTCCTATATTTCGCCAAATTGACCTGGTACATATGTATATTCATATTTTGTCTAGTATCTTTTCCATAGCAATCCTTATTTATATTGAATATTTCTTTATTATTTATTACAAACATAATTAATGAGTATATGTACTGTGATCTTAAGGGCATCATATCCCTAAAATGTCCTCTACATGACTCTCTAAGATCACAGCAGGAAATTTCCTGCCTTTTATCAATACCACAGATTCCTTATTGTGCTCACAGGAACTTGTCACTGGTCCCTATCCTCTGCCATTTGAATCCAGTGCACAACCTCCAACCCCGTATCCTTATTTTACAACCACCTTATCCTGCAATGCAGGTTGGTGTAGTAGTGCTCTAGACCTGTACACAGCAGGTACTTGGTCTGAATCATGACTATCCTTAGTGAGGTTTTGTAGTTTTCCTCAGTCCCGCCATGCAAATACCACAATCCTACCTAGCTCAGACCATGACCTCTATAGGGTAAGAGTGAGCCAAGAGATAATCTTGTAACTGACTAAAACAATTCTATATCATGATTCTAACATCTGATTGTAAAAGGAAGATTATGAACTAACATAATTCCATTACCATAAACTCCATTCTGATATTTACTGCAGTTAGTGGTTGGCACGTTGAGGTTATGTGTATTATACAATGTGTCTGAATCTGTACAAAAATCGTCCATGTTGTCCATAAGACAATTCACTAGCTAGCTGAAGAATATTAAATTTCTTACAGAATTCCCTACAAGATACTTTCCTTTTAATGTCTACCATTATTCTGATGATTTTATTTTGGACAAAATACTTTTTTGCTGTCTGCTGAATTTTCCTAGAAAATTGTTTCATATAACAGGATGGAAGGAAGTAATTTAAGAAAACCAATTTTAAAATTCATATTTTCACAAGTGACATGGGTATTTCACAGGGCTAGTAAAAAATGGCTTCATATAGTGCATGGTGCTTTCTGTAATAGTTTTAAATAAAGTTGTGAACTTTGGTCTACATGTGACATAGCGATAAGACTAGGGTAGTGAATTATGTACTTTTTTGACCATCTTTGACAACCCTGATTTAAATGGACTTTTCCCCTGGGAAAATTCCTGAATAATTCAACATTTTTGCGACTTCTGCGGCCTGTTCCCTGTCTGAGGTAAGATTAATTACATTTTATCACAAATTTTCATACTTTGCACTTATTAATTTTTTAAAGATTTATTCAAAAATAATTCAGCACACAGGGTACTGAGAGTTACTTATCATACTAGCAGTGAAAGGGTTAAGGGAGGAACACAGACTGGGGGTTTCTGAAAACAGGGGGCTGAGGAGTATATTTGGACCGAAGAGAGATGAAGTGACAGGAGGTAGGAGAAAACTGCATAATGAGGAACTTCATAACTTGTACTCTTTGCCAAGTATAATTAGAATGATCAAGTCAAAGAGGATGAGGTAGGCAGGGCATGTAGCACGAATGGGGGAGAAGAGGAATGCATATAGGATATTGGTGGGAAGGCCAAGGCATAGGTGGGTGGACAATATTAAAGAGGATCTTAGAAAGACAGGATGGGATGGTATGGATTGGATTGATCTGGCTTTGGATAGGGCCCAGAGGAGGGTTCTTGTGAACACGGTAATGAACCTTCGGGTTCCATAAAATGCTGGGAAATTCTTGAGTGGCTGCACAATTGGCAGCTTCTCAAGAAGGGTTCAGCTCCATAAGTGAGTGATTACATAATACTTATTTCCCATTCCCATTACTTAGATGTGTTATAAAGGCTAGTTTGTTTCCTGTAATTACAATATCATGACAATAATTCTACAATCTTCATAACTATAAGTTGAACAGCATGAGAAATATGATCCTTCCTGTAGTTGTCTACAAGAATATTATCAATGTCAGTATTGAATTCTTGTGGGGGAAGTTGGCTACTGTTTGGTTTTGACACTGTGGTAAGTTTCAGTGTGATAATTAATATTTATGTTATCACAGATGATATTTTCTGCTTTAACTTTATAATGATAATTTATAATGTTTTATAACTTGTTCAAGAACAGTTCAAAATCATCTGTGCGCTTCATGTGAAGCTTGGATATACTTGATAGTTATCATGACATACTGTCTGAAAATGTGGCACAGTTAAGATATTTGGGAACGACAATAACAAATCAAAACCTGATTCAGGAGGAAATTAAGAGGCGACTGAACTTGGGTAATGCTTGTTACCATTCGGGCCAGAACCTTTTGTCTTCTCGTCTGCTGTCCAAAAACATAAAAATTGGAATATACAGAACTATAATTTTGCCTGTGGTTCTGTATGGGTGTGAAACTTGGTCTCTGGCATTAAGGGAGGAACATAGACTGAGGGTGTTTGAGAACAGGGTGGTGAGAATATATGGACTGACGAAGGATGAAGTGACAGGAGATTGGAGAAAACTGCATAATGAGGAGAGTAAGTACTCTGAGATACTGTCCTTGCAATATCCTAGAAGGATCCAGAATTATGAAAGCCTGCCTTGAACCAAGTTTAGTACCCCCAAAAAAACAAGTCAGACATGTGACTGCTAAACAAAATCTATTCAATGATTACGGTGAAGTTGGCAAACACTGACAATATGGCTACACACTGCAAGTTATAAAATTATCATCTGTTAACATTTTATGTTGATTTATAAATGAATGATAGTTATTCTGTGAATTTAAATATATTAAGAGCATGGTTCATGTGCCATAACTGCATTTATCAGACTGTGCAAGTACTGTAAGACCATCTGACTACCTGCTGTAGTACAAGCAATACATCATCACCTTTTCCTACACCAAAAGAAATCTTGGTGAAAGTAATAGTGCCATGTTATTTAAATGTAATGCGTAGCTTAAAAAATCCGGATAATACATACCAAACTAGGATTTTCAACAATATATGGTTCTTCTTCATTGTTGTCATTATCTTCTGGAGGAGCATCTACTTGCATTGGCTCCACTGAACTCTGTAAAAAGTCGAAGAAAAAACGACCAATTTACGGAATGGTTTTGTTTTACACACTTCAAGAATATACTGAAATAACACGGACTCTTGATAAAAATGCCTATCATTTGAAAAACAAATGGGCAACGAGCCATCACGTTTCGTGTAATTAAATTTTATACGAAGTTACCGAATAAGGGTATTATAATATTACCAGGGTACATAAACATTTGACCTTCTTGGGCAATTTTCTCGATTTCATGTAAACATGCTCACCCATGAACCAAAATCTCAAATCTAAGTATGGACTCCATTCACGATACCTACTGTGATTCACATTCACTACATAAACTAAGAATCGTAATATCTATTGGGTCCCTGTGAACATGTAAATTGAAGAAGTAACGCTTACATTACTATATTATCTGAACTTACTTGGAAAAGAACTACCTGCTTTCCCTGCACTGGTAGCGGCATAACGAAATTCAAGCTCTCGTTTTCAATTCCGTAACTGCGAGACTGCTACCAAAGAAATGGCAAATTTGAAGTCTACCCGACCAGACTACTTCAATTTGTAGGGTTTCTAGGCATCCACGTTCTGAAAGTACACACTTTCTAACTTCACCAAAATTATATAACCCAAGACAATAACGAGTATGGTATTAAAATGGAAAAATAAATACCACATTTACTTTGTGGAGCATTAGTGACAGCATTTACACGCCAAAGGTTTATAGCCATTCGCGACATGCAAAATAAGGCAATGAATGATGAATACCTAAATGAATTAAAGCATCAGACTTTCGTCTGTATAGCATTATTTATACGATTTATACTGTGACCACACAGTAATAAACAAAAATCACATATATAGCTGAATGCTTGCCGTGTAGATTTGTCTAGTCGAAATAAAAGGAGAATATCTTCGATATCCGGTTCCGTCCGTGTGGTAGTTATATCTTTGCAGTTTCAGAGAAAATTCATTGCGGAGCCTGGCTGTTTATAATAACTGTTAAATTTCTTAGGCATGGCTGGGAATGCAACGAAAGCTCCGATTTTACGAGTCGCTACCGTGAGTTATTCTGTTTAGCAGGTCTTAGTATGGTTAGCAATAGCAATTCTTCTGAAAGAACATGCTAAGAAAACCGTTTCAAGAACAAATTATTGTACGCCCACTGCTAGGGGCCAGAAGAGTTAGAATTTTCGGCGTTAATTATACTAATGGCACAGTTTTAATCTCTTTTCTAAAAATTTACCTTCTATGTTCCTATGGTCAGTTAAATTTGATACTGAATCGTAAGCCTGGCACAAGTCCAATTTCTGTCCATTTTTATTTTTGTAGCTTTTAGAAGATTGAAAGCAATGAGACGAATTTCCAGGACTTGAAATTAACATGAGAAACATTACTAAGGGTAAAATAACAGTTTTCCATATTTGGAGAACATTTATACTTTCCCTATATAAAGTACTATTTGTTAATTGAATGGTGCTTCATATTTATGTTTAAAATCTGTGCATTTATTATGAATCTTAATAAGAAGTTGGATACCAAGATCCAGACAAATCTTCCATGTATCTCCATTGTGTAGTATTTATTTATTTTGTCCTCGGACTGGGTTCTGTGTAAAGGGGTCTCCTGATCAGCTTTTGCTTTGGTCATCTGGGGGGGGGGGGCTAGAGACTGAGTTAGAAGATACTGTATCTGACACAGGTTCTGCCCAGCGCTGAACTTCAGGATCATTCAGCACCTTAACAGTCCCCTGTGAGAGTCCTGTAAATATTTTGTAACCGGTCCTCTGTATAACGGTATGAGAGTCCCGGTCTATGCATAAGATAAGCCTCTGGCCTTTCGACTCAGATTGCTTATCTAGTACCCTCCAGTTCTCAGTATGAAGTCCTGGATTGAGGTCTGCAATCCATTTCAGCAGCTCTTCCTGATTCTGAGCAACTTTTCCCTAGTCTGGAGAGCCACTTGAACAGGCTTGGGCAGGTTCCTGGCATCAGTAGCCTTCAGCCTGGCCCCTCATACCAGCCTGGGGTTGTCAATGGCTTTGGTGATCCATTGACCAGACTGTTGGTCGGCGCATGTGTAAATAAGTGCACCTCCCACTAGTCTATAGGATTTCAGGTGTGGTAGTTCTCCCTTTGGAGTCCTACGTAACACGTCCCCCAGTGCTTCCAGAATGGAATTCTGGTCATCTTCAGTAAGTTTATCCTCAGGATAAGTTTCCTTGAAGATAGTTACCTTTATATTGGTCAGAGCCTCCTTGTAAGTCCCTGGTCCGTTAAGAGTCCCTGGGCCTTTTTGGAGTTCTGGCCTTTTCTGTAGGGGTACTGCCCTCCGACCTTGGCCTCTTAAAAGGTACTGGTGGGGGTTTCTGCATGCTTGGACGAGCCTGAATTTCCTGGTTGCTGACTGCCCCCAGTTCCTGCTTTGCTTGCCCTAGCTCTTGCCTTTTTCATCTCCCGTCTAGCGCATCCAGACAAGGCTTTTTTCACTAGACGGTGTCCACCTACTCCAGAGACTAGCTGTCCCAATCCTTCTCCTGCTGCATGAAGTTACTGCTGACATTCCCTCCTTTCAGCTTACAAATTTCCTCTCTAGCTGCCTTTAATTCTTTTTCCAGGTGCCTGATTCTCTCCTCCTGTTGCTTCACATGTTTCTGGTACTTACATGGGATACAATATCGTGGCTTGCTCTTGTCTGGTGTACTGGGGCTAGTGCTTGCACAGTTTAAGTGGAAGCAGTAGCCAATCTGTACAAATTAGGCCATTAGTGATCCAACTATGACAAGCTCCACATTTACCAGAAAGGCTATTTGTACCAGACATACAGTACTTGTCATTAGAACACTGTGATCCTCGGGGTTTCTAAGGAGTCCTATATAAAATTAATCAGTATGATAGAGAGTATGTGATGAATGTACACTTTAAGAAACATTACACCAACACACTGCATTAGATAGCAGCATAGTCTCACAACCTGCAATTCTTATCCACACTCAACACAGTAATATCAAGAAGTAAACAATGTTTAATAAGCTTAACTTTATTCATTCTGGTCTGTCAAACTGGTAAATTATTATAGAATAATTGTTAACACTGTCCAGTATTATTCAGATGACAAACCCCCTATATCAGGGTGGTACAGTGTATACTGTAAACATATGCACAAGAATTAGATGTAAAACTGACAATTTCCTTATCCAAATGGTTGTAATACCTGTATGTATGGACTGCTGAATGATAATAAATGATAAATATGATTGAATTTGCAGATATTTATTGCCTTTACACGTTTCGGTTAGCTGTGACCATCTTCAGAAGGAAATAAAATCAACATGTCTAGGAACTACTATTACAAAGCTCGTAATACATATTTAGAAGCTATTATATAAAAAATTATGTACATTAAAAATCTTATTAATGTCTAATATTTAAGATCTTGAACTGATATGGTTTGTGTCCCTGTGCCCGTTCTGTCAATAGTAGTTCCTAAACATATGATTTTATTGCCTTCTGAAGATGGTCACAGCTGACAGAAACATGTGAGGTCATTAAATATATACAAATTCAGTCACACTGGACAGTGTTATCAATTCCATAATATACAGTACTTTTACATTTATTACAGATAGCACAAATCCCATATAAGTACCAATGTGGTTGGTCTAGCAGTAACATTCTTAATTTGTATTCTAGAGGTCCTCAGTTCAAATCCCAGCCAAGACACTGGCTATCCTGACTGAGGTTTTCATGGTTTTCCTTAGTTCCCATATGGAAGTGCCAGGATAGTACCTCGGTTAGACCATGAGCATGTTGGATCCTTTCCAATTCTTCATTCACTATCATCATGTGACGCTATAATAGTTTTGATACTGACAGTGTCATAAATATAAATACGTTATTTTCCGGACTATATCAAGCAACAGCATGACAAACCACCCCAAAAATTCCAGTAAACAACATATCAAGAGACATGTTGGATACTATATTGTTGAATTTAACATCAGTCTTAGTAATGACTTGGGCATTAATTTTAATTTAAATTTTAATGTAATTCCCTTGTTTTATCAAGAATGATGATGCAAATAACACGTGTGTCAACTCACAGGGTAAAACATAACGACACTCACAACCATTCAGGGATGAGCACATAGTGGTCAAAACGTGCTGTTAGCCAACTGTTTAGTGTCCAGTGTATGATACTTAGTGAATCTGCGATTAACATCACCAGCGTATTGCGTACTGGAGATGGATTGATGTGACCAACTGAACCAAACACAACAGGATGCAACAGTATAGCTTGTTAGGTGACCAGGAGTCTCTGTGGCCTCCAGATCATCATGACATATCAGAATTATCAGACCTGTGAAATGATGTATTTAATTAACAGTGGTATCCAGTAGTCAAGTCTTTTTTCCTTGGGTGTATTGGTAGTAGAAGTGTTAGTGTACCAAAATAATGTTCAGTAATTCATGTATGGCTGAGAACAGTCAAATGACAAAGAATCTGCTCTGATATGAATTATAACATGATGATGCAAGCTAGGGTAGGGAGCAGTGAATAGATGTACTGTGGTCTTGTCTTTGCATCTTCTGGTACTGATCTGTTGCAACATTGTCATATGCCAAGGTATGTATAGATCTGTGGTAAGCTGTTTCTCAGGATGAGGATCAAAAACCAAATTATCATACTTGTCTACACTATTATTATGCAGATGTGCTGTTGTGCAAGCAGACAAACTACTGGTTTTGAGATCATATGCCCAAGGTTCATAAGCTCCTAAACATCAGTTTTACATCACAAATTAGTAACTGCAGGTCTAACAACATAGTACTTTACACATAATGTGGATCCATTGTGTGCTTCAAAGTTAAAGATTTTTCAAGTAATGTTGCACTTAGTATTTATTTCGTCTCTATAGATCATTGTTACATGATATAGGACAAGTCAGTTACTGTACATTGGCTGATTACAATAAGAGAATAAAGTTACAATACTTAAAATTGTTTACAGTAGATTACAGTAGATTACAATAGTTAAGATTTCATATAGTGTAAGGTGGAATCCATATTAGGTCCCCTCAGCATGTCGGCTTCCATATGTCCTATTGTACCTGTACTGGTGATAATGCTTATGGAGAATTTGATGGAATGAGAATTGGCAGGGGAAACCGAATTACTCTGGGAAAACCTGCCCCAGCGCCACTTTGTCCATCACAAATCCCATTTGACTAGACCGCAGCAGTGGGAAGCCAGCGACTAACTGCTTAAGCTATGGCGCGGCTGTTAACCACCTGTTGGCTTCAAGCAAGGATGGCAGCATTTGGTATACTAACTGCAAGTGTTGAATGCCTCTCACATTGTGTGGTTAGAAAATGTTAAAAAGAGAGCTGGAACATGTAAACTGATATGAAGTGCATGATCGTTGAATTGATAATGTTCATTTTCAGAAACGTGGCATTGCTACACAAACAGCAGCAAAAAGGAGTCAGAATGTACCACGCAGTACAGAAGCAAAAACAGCTGTGCTCTCAAATAAGCTTGTAGTCTCATCTGTGGATAACGGTTCACCTGTTTCTACAGTCTCTGTGCTATTCAGGTAAGTGATGTGATAGAAGAACATACTTCCTCTATCATCAAGGTCAAAGAGTAAGCCAAGCAAGTAACCAGCAGGAAAGAGGCAGTAAACAGAGATTCAACCCTGAAGATAGGGGCAGTACATTTGCTCTGAAATCTTGATGGAGTTCTGTAACTTTGTGTACAGTACCTTGTACCACTTCTCCTTTTTGCTGTTTTCCACTCCTGATAATCTTCCTCCTCCTCCCTACCCTTTCTTCCTTGACCTAACCCCTTTCACCTGTCATCTTGGCACTCCCCCCTCCCACTCAGTGGGACACACGTTTTTTGTGGCATCTACATTTAATTTTGCTTGTTTGGCTTCAGAATTGTGATCAGGTGAATGAACCACCATGTTCTATACCATACTTTGGTTTGTACTATTATTTTATGTTATCATGTCCAGTAACATAATTTCTTTATTATCTTCCATTCTTTATCTAATAAATCTTTGTGCTCAATATTTGGTAAGTTGGTATTGTTGTCTGTACTAGTGCACTTTGACTCATGCTGACCTTGCAGTAGCCGCTTCCTTTTGCCCCAATAACGGGCATGTCAGTTTTACTGGACTACGAGGCATGAAACCTGGGAATGTAGTATTTTTAGTCACCACCATGAGGACTTCAAGCGTAAGTTATTAGAACTTACTGATTTTCTTGCAGTGAATCGGCTAGGTGGGTCATAGAAAAGCGTGCTTAAAACACCTTGTGGTGGTATGTTTAATTAATATGGGGTATATTTTATTTGTACAGTAAAACCTGTCTTAAATGGAATATCAAGGGTCCAGAACATTTTTCTGCTGAAGCCAGTTTTCTGTTTAATCAAGGCATAAACCAAGACATGCACGTATTTGAGACAAAACACCATACTCATTAATTTATTCACACTATAATCATTGGACACATGCAAACATTACACTAAACAAAAAAAAAAATTGCAATACTCACTTTTTATAATTTTACCAGAAGTCCTTCTACCTCTTCAGCCCTCATATATTTTTCCAGTAACCTAATGTCTTTACACATATCCCACATGTGGTTTCTCTGCTTCCAGTTAGTACCACCTGTAGTGCATTATCATTGTGCTTCCTGTCAGCCAGAAAACTCAATCCATCCATTTATTTTCCAGTGAATTTTTCTTTTCAGCAAGTTACATACATATCTTGAATATTAATATTTATTAGTAAAACTGAAGGCTGTATATATATATGACCTCCTCCTTCTCTTAGGGCTGGATCACGTTATGAGCAAGCAGACTCTCTGGGAACCACACATGTGTTGCGAATTGCAGCAGGACTTACCACCAAGAATTCTACACAGTTTGCTATAATGCGTAACCTACAGCAGATTGGAGCAACCCTGAGTTGCCAGACTGACCGAGAGACCATTGCCTATACTCTCCAAAGCACCAGTGACAGTTTGTATGTTATTGTGGGTGATATCCTGACTTTCTGTTAAATTCTACATATTTATTTTCAGAGATAATAATGCACTGTGTTTATTTATGTAATTTATACATTTTTCCCACAGTGTGCAGTCCTGAAATTGAGGTTTCTAATTATGTATGAAATTTTAGGAGGGTTTAGGAATGGAGACAAAAATGGGAGGGCACTGTATGTATTCATTTAATTGTATTATTATATATTTACCCAAATTGTGGTATGAGAAAGAATAGATTATTCTTTGCACCTCATAATTGCATCTTCTTCGCTTTACATGATGATCACCACAGTTTATGCTGCAGTCCTCCTTTCACTTGCATATTCCGCTTCTCACTGGACTTATGGCTGAATCTGAAACTTTGTGTTAATGACATTGAATATTATTACATCTGTTGACACAGCAGTTTCTTATAAAAATATACAAATATACGAAGGGGGACCCAAAAATAACCGGAAACGACCTGTTGTGCGCACATGCTTTGTAGTTACGAGTTGTGCTGCTAGGTGGTGTTAGCTGGGGGTCTCCCGCGACTGTTAGTGAGCTGGCGTCAGTCTGAGTTAAGTGGTTTGTCTGTGGTGCTCTGTTGTGTGCGTTCCTGTTTCAACCCTTTGGCGATTAGTGAGATGGCCGACCAGAAGGAACAAAGAGTGTGCGTGAAATTTTGCTTTCTGTTAGGGAAAACTGCATTTCACTCTTCAAGTCGCGGCAAACATTCACGCAGTTTTCTCTTTGGTCATCTCCGAGCAAGCGAGGAACAAATTTTGCAGACACCCGTCTCATGTGCAAACCTTCGGTTAAAATTCGCTGGACCGTGCTCCATGAGATGTTCGTTTCCTCAGAAAGTTGGTCAATGGTCTTTCGACGATCTTCATCAATTTCACGCACACTCTTTGTTCCTTCTGGTCGGCCATCTCACTAATCGCCAAAGGGTTGAAACAGGAACGCACACAACAGAGCACCACAGACAAACCACTTAACTCAGACTGACGCCAGCTCACTAACAGTCGCGGAAGACCCTCAGCTAACACCACCTAGCAGCACAACTCGTAACTACAAAGCATGCGCGCACAACAGGTCGTTTCCGGTTATTTTTGGGTCCCCCCTCGTAGATTATTTACTTTCAAATGTTAAAGCCTTATTGGGTCATCAAATACTCACTGTTCACTCAAATGTGTTACAAATGCTCTGCTGTTGGAGACCAACTCAGCCCCTTCTCGTTTCTATAAGCAGTAGTAACAAGGAGAAGGGGGTGAGTTGGTCTGCAGAGCATTTGTAACGCATTTCTTGAAAGTCAGATGCATTGAAACCTCAATTTAAGGTTTCATTTGGGAGCAGTGGATTTGAACACTACTTGAGGAAAATCTTAGAGAGAGGTAATTGAGAATTAAGATTATTGACTCAAGGTTGTTTGAAATGAATGTTAAATGAGGGAAAACTGTGAGTTGAGGGCAGGGCATGATCTCAGAGATTACATTTTTCCTTTAAGAAATGCCTGTAAGCTAAATTTAACAGTACCTTCTTGATTATTCACTCCAAGATTTAGTTGCTGACCCTCTGACGGATACACATAAATTTAGTCAAGTACTGTTGCCGGTCATGTATTTGCCTGTTACTACAAAACATAAACGGAATTGCTTAACTGCTATTTTTCAGTAATACTTCTCTTCCAAGAGAGTAAGAAATTGCATACATTCAGATAATATGAATGGATCAATAATCTTTAAACTTGTATAGGAATCTGGGTGCTGTGATCAGAGGATTTACAAATACTGGTTTGGTGTGCCCTTTGTCTTGTAAAGTGCCTCTTGCTTTCTCTGTACAAAATATTTTATGTACGAGGGTAAGTCAATAAGTAAGTTACAAATGGATATAGAACTTAAACAAATAAGAGTGCTGATTTGAAAAATGCTTTTATTTCTCAACATAATCTCTCTGTACACTGAGGCACTTGTGCCATCGTTTGACAAGCCCCTGAAAACCAGCAGCATAAAATTCTTTGGGCTGCTGTCGGAACCAGGCGGTGACTTCCCTTTCTACAGCTTCATCGTCGGGAAAATGTTTGGCTGAAAGATGATGTTTAAGAGGGCTGAACAAAGGGAAATTGCTTGGAGCAAGGCCGGGGCTATACCGAGGATGCTCGAGAACTTGAAATTTCGCAGCGTCTCATTTGTCTTGTTGGCAGTATGGGGATGTGCATTGTCATGCAAGAGCAAGACGCCTTTGGTGAGGAGTCTTGGTCGCTTCTGTTGATTGGCCTTACAAAGTTTCCTGAGGATGTTACAGTAGGAGTCAGCATTTACGGTTTGTCCTTGAGGCTGGAATGCGGTGAGCAGTATGCCTTTGTGATCCCAGAAGACTGTGAGCATCACTTTCCTGGAGGATGGTGTCACCTTAAACTTTTTTTTGGCAGGTGATGCAGGATGTTTCCACTGCACTGACACACGCTTTGTCTCAGGCTGGTAATGGTGCACCTAAGACTCATCACCCGTGACAGTTCGGGCTAGCATATCGTGTCCTTCATTGTGGTAGCAATTGAGATGCTGTAATGCCAGGCCCATTCTTTGCATTTTGTGCTGTGGGTCAGCATGCGTGGCACCCATTGTGCACAGACTTTGTGAAAACCTAACGTGTCATGCATTATGAGGTAGGCCATGTGTTAACAACCAATAGCAGTGGCTATAGTGTCTATAGTTACCCTTCTGTCTGCTCGGATTAAGTCTTCAACCCGCTGCACATTCGCTTCTGTGGAAATCTCTGGTGGCTGGCTGACGCGGTGTTTGTCTTCGATACATGCCCGCCCTTCAGAGAACTTCTGCACCCAATTGTAAACAGCTTGACATGACATGCACTTCTCACCGTAGATGGGAAGCATTTCTTTATGAATATTCTTTGATTCCATACCTTTTGCCCACAAAAATCACACAATGGAGCTCTGCTTGAGAGTTGTACACTCACTCAGAGGTGCCGCCATCTTGTGACTGCTGTTTCGCTTTTGTAAACATTGATTGTCTCGTCTAATGTCATCAGTTGCCACCGGACTAATGCTACCATCTAGTGGCGATAGCCTCAAGTGCCTCATTCAAACATGTAGTATCAATTTGTAACTTACTTATTGACTTACATATTTCATTTTTTACTGAGTTGCCTACTTAAGAAGTGTCTTAGTTTTGTGAATATGTACAGGGAAACTGGTCTGAAGTTCCTTGGTGATGTTGCTTCTAAGCAAGTATTCAAGCCATGGGAAATATCTGACAACATTCCACGCCTGAAGTATGAACTGGCTGGCCTTTCACCATATGCACTGTTGCTGGACTTGCTGCATAGAGCAGCCTATAGAACTGGGCTTGGAAATTCACTCTTCTGCCCTGATTATCTTGTTGGTAGTCACAGCACAGAGTCAGTGAGTAAATACCGTACAGATCAAATAGTAGTGTTTTCACAGGATCTGAGGTTCTCACAGCGGTGGTTACCTTCTCCACAACTTTTGAGAGGTCTGTAATAGTCATATTATTATTGTTATTGGAGGGGGTGGGTTTCCCCATGCACTGCGACCAGTTTGATCTATTGTGCATCCCCCTATAATCTTCTACCAATCTCTATACCCTACCGGTATTGGTGCTTACCATCAGTCCCTACTCAGCCAGTGAGGTCGGCCTCTACTGGCTCAGAGGTATCTCAATGCTTCCCCCATCTACCAGAGGCATTAAGAGACTACTGTTGGGCGGGAAATGTCCTTAATTTAGCTCAGTGGCCTCCTTTGGAGACATGAGGTTCTTTTACGTGCCGTAAAGCTACAACATGGGACCCACGGCTCAAAGTCCCTCCCGGAGGACTTGTTCCCTGAATTTTTCTGCCCTTAAAAATTCCACGACCTCCGCCGGGTTTGAACCCGCGTACCTTGAGTCATGAGGTGGGAACGTTACCCCTAGACTACGGAGGCCGCTGATAGTCATATTAGTTCTGTCCCCATTTTTAAATAGTGGTATTATTCCAGAATATTTCAGCCAAGAGTGGAAAACACCAGTTGAGAGAACTCTATTGCAGATATGAGTTAGAGGCGAGTTTATAAATGGGGCGCTAATTTTTAGAATTTTAACCGAGATTTCATCATATCTGTTAGAATTTTTTGATGTTAAGAACCTGATAATGTTTTCAGTCTCTTCGGTAGATGTATAGTTAAGTTTAATTTTTGGGAAGGGAGGCGTGAAAGCCTGAGACAGATAGTTCAGATATTTGTAAGCATCATTGTGTATACTGTGACCAAGATTAGTATTGTTAGTATTAATTTTATCAGCTATGGTTAGGAAATAGTTATTTAGTGACTCTGTAATTGTATGATGATGATCCATTATTTTCCCATGTATATTTAAAGCCTGTATACCAGTATGTTAAACTTTCTGCCTGTATCTGTTTTTATGATGTTCCAGGTGGCTTTCATTTTATTATTAGAATTGGAAATTAATTATAATGAAGTTTTTTTTTTGCTGCTGTTAACGAACAAAATTTTTCAATATGTTTTGTAATAACATTTTAAATTTGGGTCATTACTATGCCTGAGAGTTAAGTAGTTCCCTTTTAATACCACATGTCATCTAAGAATTAGATTTAGTATTAGTCTTAACTTGTTTTCTGGGAAAATTCAGTAAAATGTTATGAAAACCGTTGAATATTGTATCCACATTGTGATCACTAAAGATACTGTCCTAAGATTCATAACTTAATTGAGTCAAGAACTCGTTCATGGAGGACTTGCTAAATTTTCTTACTGATTGTATGTAACTGTTGTGTATTTGTATATTACTATGGTTTATGTATATAATCTGGCCATCATGATCACACATGCCATTAATGAGAGGGCTTATGATGTAATTTCTGCTTTTGTTAAGATCAGTAAAAATGTTATCGACTGCAGAGATTGAGTTATTCTGAATTCCAGTAGGGAAGTGCACCATACTAGTGAGATTGAAGGAAGATAACAGGGAATCCAATTGTTTTTTCCTATTACTGTCCTTGAGATAATTTACGTTTATATCATAAATAATTAATTCTATATTATTATTATTGAACAGAGTCTTTAGTATGGCATCTAAGCCATTGAGAAAAAATAAAAAGTTCCCTGAGGGAGCTCTGTGAATGGATAAAATACAGATGTTGCAAGCTGAAGATTGAATTTTGGCTGCACATACTTCTAGGTATTGTTCTTTACAAAATTTAAGTCAATGTTTGAAAATTTTAATTTTTCATGTACAAAAATGCATGCTCCACCTTGCCTAAGAAGTTGTCTGCAATAGGCCGCACCAAGGTTATAATATTTTAAATTAGTGTGAACTAATTCTGTGTAATTTAAGTGGTGCTCTGTTGGACATAGCAGATGCGGCAAGTCAGGATACAAGGAGCTTATAAGTTCATCTATTTGCAAGAGCCTGCCACTGGACACTATCCCAAGTCTGTTGAATCCAGTCCATGTTGTTAGATCCTGTTTCTTTAAGCTCCTCATTTACAAAGCCTACTTTTATGTTTCCAGTCCCACTTTATGTGAATCTATATTTCTCTCTCTTTGAAGGTTTTTCTCCCTGAGGCAGTTTCAATGTTGACAGTTGAATTATGTATGTGCAGCTGCAGCATTATGTGCAGAGTCGTTTCACAACGAACCGTGCAGCTGTGGTTGGTGTGGGTGTGGACCATGGTGATTTGCTTTGCTTTGCACAAAATCTTGACCTGGAAAGTGGTGCTGGTCCCAGTGATTCTGCAGCCAAGTACAGCGGAGGAGATGTAAGACAGGACACAGCAGACAGCCTAGCCCATGTGGCAGTAGCAGTGGAGGGTGCAAGGTAATGTTTCCTACCTTGCCAGTAAACTACTACAGTGTTTGTCACTTCAGTTATCTACTGATTTTTTCCTCAAATTTTCATTTCGTGCATCCTGTTGTGTTGTAATGGACTTTAATAAAGAAATTGTTTTCCTCAAATCCTTCATGTTGCCAGAAATCAGTATGGGAAGCCCCATTAGGGAATATAATGTCATTTAGAAGATCATGGACAGTTTTAGTTAGTGTGTGCATGGATATATTTTTTTAAAACAATCTCACAAACTTGCGGCTTTTCAAAAACAATTGCATCTTCCAGCATATGCCACTCTGAATAATGTAAAGAGCTTAATTTTGCAGTTGTAGTGTCTACTTTTGACATTCAGAATGGAAAATATTTTTGTGTGTAAAAGATCAGCTGAAGTGAATAAATAATTTTGTACACATACTTTAGACATGTTCTCTACAACTTTTGTTTTCACCATTTTTTAAAACATTAAAATATATTGCTAAGGTCAGTCATACATTGAAACTAAAGGTAAGAAAGTGTGTTGTGTTTTCTGGGATATAATGCTGTGTGGTCTGTTGAAATGCAATGGATGTTTCAGAGGAACATGGGGCCTCCATTTTCAGGGCTGAAGAGTAAGCTAAGGAACGAAACCAGCACGAAGCAGGCCACAAGCAAAGCCAAAACTACCTGCTTTGTGCTGGTTTCTTGCTTGGTTTACTCTTCAACCCTGAACATGGAGGTGACATGATCCTCAGACTTTCAGCTGTGTGGCTTTGTATCCCAGCAGATAGAACTCTTCATGAGAAGTGGTGTGAGAACCTCATCCCATAAAGGTAATACATTGGCCACGCCATAGCTCAAGCGGTTAGTCGCTGGCTTCCCACCGCGGCGGCCCGGGTTCGAGCTCGGGTCTGGTCAAGTGGAATTTGCAGTGGACAAAGTGGCGCTGGGGTAGGTTTTCTCCGAGTACGTCGGTTCCCTTGCCGATCTTCATTCTACCAATTGCTCCACAATCACCCTCACCTATCATCTGGGGCTGGTACAGTAGGCCAGAAGTGGCCGCAGTACAAGGGACTTAGTCCCACCCCTCTAGCAATTAAAAAAAACCCAATACATTTCTTTTTGCAGCCTGAAGAACACAAAGGAAGCTCTTGCTTTTGCAGTACTGCAGTATGCATTGGGAGTGGGCCCATATGTTAAATGGGGTTCAAGTGCTTCCCCCTTAACCCGTGCAGTGGGTTCAGCTGTTGGAAATAATCCATTTGCTGTAACAGCCTTTAATGCCAGCTACACTGATTCTGGACTGTTTGGTTTTGTAGCTTCTAGTCCAGGAAATGTTGCAGGAACGGTAAGATGACAATTTTATTGTATACTGTCACTTCAGAATCCTCTTGGATCATTTCTGTTTGTATTTTGGAAGTGTCCAGTTGTCTCTTGAACTGGTTATTCAAGTGTTTCATAACACAGTTTTTCTGGTTCCATGGATATCTAAAAGTAGGCCTAGAAATCCCTTCTGATTATCTCATTGTATCATCCATGTTGTTGTGACCCTAGAAGTTGTTACAGGACCATTAAACAACCTAAATGATGATCCTAGCTCAGGTGGTTAGTTGCTGACTTCCCATTGTGATGGCCCTAGTTTGATCCTAAGTCAGGTCATGTCATGTGGGATTTGTGGAGGACAGAGTGGCAATGTGGCAGGTTTTCTCAAGTACTTCTGTTTACCCTGCCAATTCTCATTCTACCAACTGCTTCACATTCACCGTCTGATTGCGTGACAGTGGCATTTAAACTTGATACATTGTACGAAACAATCAATTTTAATATTCAATTAAAAGCCTATCTAAGAATCTCTCTGTACAATGGAACCTCTGTTTAAGGTTTCTTTAGGAGCAGTAGATTGATCACTAAACTGAGGAATCTTAAAATGTGAAAATGTAACTCTGAGGTTATTATTGACTTGGGGTCATTGAAATTTAATGTTCAGTGAGGGAAAGCCCTAAATCTAGGAACAGGAAATGGGGATTCCATTGTATAAACATCTCCATAGGGCATAGTTTTTAAATGGTGAGATGCATGAATGTTTCTCATAAAATAAGAATTTCCTCATTCCTCAGATGGCATGCATATAGCTTGTTTTGACCAGGGGGGTTGCAGAGTCGCTGCATATGAAAGTTTCGGAAACATTGCTATACAGTGACATATATTACAATTCACATTATCAGAACCAATTGCCTTAAGTTCCATTTTAATATCCTCTCATATTTTGAGACCTGTCTTCATGGTGTGACTTTTTATGACTTGGATTATTTGCAGGTAGTCGATGCTGCAGTGAAACAGTTGCGAAGTGGCACGCTGTCTTCCACTGATGTAGCACATGGCAGGGCTCAGCTAAAAGCAGCCATTTTATATAACCAGGAAAGTAACTCTACACTGGCAGAAGAAATTGGAACACAAGCTGTTTTACTTGGCAGTGTTCTTTCTGGTCCTGCTATTATTTCTGCTGTGAACAGTGTTACCGATGCTGAAGTTAATGCTGTGAGTTTCATTTTTTCTTTTTGCATTAAACTAAGTGTTGCAGTCACATAGGCTGCACCCCTGCTTAACAAAAGAAATTAAGGAAATTCATTGCTTCACTATAGTTTATTTTAAGAAAATGCAGATAAAGAAAGTTTTCATAAATGCAATAGCAGTTCCTCTGGTAATCATAACATATTTATGGCAGTAAGATTGTTTGTGTTTGCAGGCTGCAAGCAAGGTGAAGTCAGGAAAACTGTCAGTTGCAGGAGTTGGTAACCTGACGCATGTACCATATTCTGACGAACTGAAGTAGAGGAATACTCTGGCATAATAACTTCTTCAGACTGTATTATTCTAAGTAGAGAACTGTATATAGAAAAGAATGTGTTGATTCTTGTAAATTATTACATTATGATGAAAATGTGTATGTAATTCTTTGAACACATAAGGTGCCAGAACAAAAAATATTTACAATTAAAAAGTGTCTTGAATTTTGTCAACAGACCTTGAACTATGTAACTATACATATTTTTAGCCAGTTTTCATTATTCTATTACAAATGACTGGCCTGCATTTAAGGAGCTATTTTCAGCAGTACGAAGATTTCTGGGAATTTACAGAGGAAGGATATTTGGTGACCATAACAGGTCATACTTTCCACACACTGTGCCTGAAAAGTGGGTTGTGCCCTCTCGCAGTCACCAAATAAACTTCTGTGGCATGGGACAATGCCTTTGCAAGCCAGCAGACACCCTACAACCCTTTCATCCCACTGCTGTTGGTGCAGCCATTAGATATGGTGACATTACTCTGTCTTCATGCTGGGATGATGTTCTCATGGTAGTTATTATGAAGAATATGTCTTCCTGGTTGTAATGCCATGTAGTTTGGAGAAGTTTTAGAGGAACATACTGCCTCTGTCTTCAGGATCAAAGAGTAAGCAAAGCAACTTCAACTCAGCTTGCTGCCTGCTTCATGCTGGTTTCTTGAACCCTGAAGACCGAGGTGATATGTTTCTCTGAAACGGTTGACTGTGAATGGATTACATGGGGTTATGTCATAGACGATAAAAAGAAATGAGCCCTTCTTGAGGAGAAGCCAAATCTGCAGCTACCCAAGAATTTCCCAGTATGTTACGGAACTCAAAGGTTCATTACCGTTTTCCCAAGAGCCCTCCATTTGTCCCTATCCTGAGCCAGACCAATCCAATCCATACCATCCCATCCTATTCCTCTAAGATCTGTTTTAATAATCTCCACCCACCTATGCCTTGGTCTTCCCAGTGGTCTCTTTCCTTCTGGCTTTCCCACCAGTATCCTATATGCATTCCATTTCTCCCCCATTCATGCTACATGCCCTGCCCACTTCATCCTCCTTGACTTTGATCATTCTAATTATATTTGGAGAAGAGTACAAGTTATGAAGCTCCTCATTATGCAGTTTTCATTCACCTACCCTTTTAAAATTTAGACATTATAACCTTCCAGTGCTTATATGAAAATAGTTTTTCCTGAAAATAAAAATTTGTTGTAAGCTCCAAAAAATAAAACTCACATATAATTCCTTTTATTGATGAAATCATGTATGTTGTCAGTACAACCGCAACGATTCTATGGAGTACAGCTTGTTAACAAACTGTGGCTTCGATAATTTTCCTTCCTGAAGCTGCTGCAAAAGGGGTAGCAGCCCGTTTAGTTCATTCATATGATCAATCTGTAATCAAACAAAATGTAAAAGACAAATGGCAGCAGAAGTTCGCTTGCCAGACATGTGATTCATTCGCACTAATTCTTTTTACACGTTCCATTTACATTTTATGTTATCGCGTAAGCTTTATGATGTCAAGGTGCTAAGGACAATGCCCATTTATTCCAATCAAAGTAACTTCTTGTTGCATGGTCCTAGAAGATGGAAAGTTGCTCAACTGGTCAATAAAATCCCCACCTTTTATGAAACCCAGAGGTTCATTATTGTGTTCAATGACCCTATCATGAGTTGGATGAATCCAGTCCACATCCTCGCACTCTACTTTATTAATATCCTCTTATTTACGCCTAGGTCTCCAATGTTATCTCTTCCCTTTAGGATTCCACTGAAATGTTAAGTCATCCTTTCTATCCACACTGTATGTCACCCCAGTCTCGGCCTTGATTTTATCACCCTCAGACATTAATATTCAGATCTAAGGGTCTCGCAGTGTTGACTGTAAAGTTTATTCTTTTCTGGTCTGTCATGCTGTGTAGTCTGGTACATGTTTCCCAGCATTTCAACCCTGAAGATAAAGGTGGCACATTCCTCAGAAACATCAGCAACCACGTACTAGACTACATGGTGTCACATGAGCCTGGATAGCGTAGTTGGTATAGCGACTGGCTACGGGCTGGATGACTGAGGGGTTGGAGTCTGAGTCCCAGTGGGGGTAAGAATTTTCACTTCTCCACGTCGTCCAGACCACCCCTGGGGTCCACCCAACCTCCTATTCAGTGGGTACTGGGGGCTCTTTCCCTGGGGGTAAAGATGCTGGGGCGTGAGGCTGACCACTCACCTCCAACTAGTGCCAAGGTCAAGAAAATGTGGATCTATACATGACTAAGGTTTCACACAGGATGCTGCCATAATGTAAAATTAAAAAAAAATCGCTTAGTGGGGGGTGGAGTCCAACTGGGTCCACTCGGCATGGCAGCCACTGATTGGCCTATTGTAGCCTGCTCTGCATGATTATGACGATGGAGAATTTGGTGGAATGAAGATTGGCATGGGAAACCGAAGTACTCTGAGAAAACCTCCCGCAGCACCACTTTGTCCACCAGAAATCCCACTTGACCAGACCTGGAATCGAACCCTGGCCACTGCAGTTGGTAGCCAGCGACTAACTGCTTGAGCTATGGTGTGACCAGTCTGCTATAATGTATCTCTCATCATAATTATGCATTGGCCAAAACTTTATCAAGGATAAAAACAGTTCTTTTCTCCCAAAAATTTCACATCAGAAAGTAGGGGCACATAAATGCCATACACAGTAACATAATTACAATTACCCAAATAAGACACTGATAATTCAAGCTTAATGGGATAGTAGGCTTTGTGAGTTGTGCCCAGAACTCATTCTGGGAGGTGGAGAAATGCATATACATAATTTATGTCCATACGATTCTCATACTATGCAGGCAATGTCATGATTTCAGTTGGTAGTTTGCTCCTGAAAACCCCTGGCAAAATGGGCGCCTTCACCAATAATGTATAAGGAATCAAGTACACAACAAAGATCAATTATCTGGACATTATCCATCACCCTAATTTTTATTTGCAACAATATTTTGACGACTCGACTATGTCCTCAGGTAAAAAAAACCTACTCCATCCAGCCCAATCGTTAAGAGGTGGTCCCTGCCTTCCAATGCAGGGACTATATATATGGGATCAGAAGTATGCACAGTTTCATATAACATTTTACAATGCCTTGAACACATATGAAGGGTGGAGGTATAGCTCTGCACATTCTTAACCTTGACTGTAGATGGAGTTATGTTCCAATTTCATGCCCTGGGCACATTATGCCTGGAGAAAGTTTCTTGTACCCACTGAACAGATTAGGTGGCTCCAGAGCTGGTAGGAACACTGCAAAAAGAGAAAATCGTTGTCCCTGCCAGAAACTAAACCCCAATTTCCAAGTTGTCTAGCCCACAGCATAGACACAATACTGGCTCAACTATCCTGGGTCTCTCACAGTCAGTATGCTTTCAAAAACAATGTTTCTAACGAACTTACCTGGTTTACAACAAGCTCACGAATTCTGAGCAGTAGTTTAAGAACCTGAGGATCTCCAGAAAGAAGGTAGCGTTGATAATGTGCATCCAGCAGCAGACTGGCCCACTCTATCAAATTATACAACTCCACTTCTGGTACATCTGCCTCAATCTCTTCAGCCAAATAGTGAAGAAGAGAGAGGGTGAGATGCAACGGAGCAGTGCGTACACTGGGCAGCATGCAGACATCACTGAACGGTGCATGAAGTACAGTGTTCAACAGCTTATGGTATGGTCCCTCTTTATCAGTTTTGGTAACATTCTCCAAGCAAAAGAGAATTATTTGAACCAGTGAACCTTCAGGAATGTCTGTAAAATATTTTATGCACCAGTTCAGTTCTGATATGGCACTGGCTTTTAGCAGCTGTGGAAGAAGTTTTTGCACCATCCTGCAACATAACATCACATTTATGAGTTAATGATAAGATAACAGACTTCCAAAACCTGTCCTACACAGCGAGAAGTCTGCTCATCTGGAATCCCAAGGGGCTGAACATATTTATCACTTCAGAGAGGTTATTTCCAGTTTGAAATATTGCAAAGAACATTCTCCATGGAGGCACAGTTATACCTGGTACCAGAAATTCATGCTACATTATATATACTGTCATGATTTAGGGGTGTGACTATAGACAGGGCAGGGATTGGTGAATGGATTTATTGACCATTTATACATACCGCTCAGAACCACAAGCACTTACAATGCTATTGTCAATCTCCATGCTTTACAAATCACAGCACCCGCTAAACCTTTTCATGGTCTGACTTTCGACTAATCAGGTTGCCACAGTGGTCTTTTTTGTAACCCCTTTATATGGACTGAGTAGAAAAATCCCTGTTCCCAGTGTCATAGTCCAACTGTTGCAGCTGCCAACCAACAAATTGTGTAACACCGTTTCCAACAGTAACTATTGTTGTAGAGGTGTGTTTACTGTGCCACTGCATAGCAATGACTGTTGTCTCATTTTTGTTTTGAGGTCTTTGCCTAGCAATGGGTCTATATCCCATAATACTATATTTCATTGAACAGAACACATTTTCAGCTATCTTTCTTTCATTCTTAGTTTCGTGATGTCTCATAGAACTGATTAAAAGTAATATTTTGGAAAGTACCATTTTTGGGATGTGCTGCCATGTATTCTGGTAGAAGCCTACTGACATTTCAGAGGAATGTCAGAAAACATCTAGCACGCTACATGGCAGCACATCCCAGGAGACAGTACTATTCATGGTCACCACTGTCAGAACTGTAAACCTCACACATTACTGTTACATGTTAGAGTGACTAAAAACAAGTTTTTGGATTAATGACCAGATTTACTGGACTCCAGTACAACATGTGATTATACTGCACACATTACTGTCACACACAAACCAATGTTCTCAGTCATGTTGCTAGGCAACGGCTTCTAACGGCAGACATTCCCCTTCCTCTGGGTTCCCGATTATGGTTCATGGCTTGAATATAGGTCTATTTCAGGACCTCACAGAGTAGGATTTATTTCATATCCTGTTTACCTGAAGATGGGAACATAACCAACTCCTGATACATAGTGATTTTAACCTTTAAACGACTAAAGACAACGTATGTCATCGTTAAAAGAATGTCCCCGGTACGAATGACGACATATGATGTCGCAGAGTCCGCGCGTGGCAACGTTATATAAAATTAAATTTTAAAGTAGAAAATTATGTCCTACTTACATAATTTTTGGCCACCATCTGCATGGAGTGTCTGTCTTCCCGCCTGCGTCATCTGCCGGAATGTTGCCTTCGTGTGGAATTCTCAAAAAA